GAGACTGGGTTTGTTTTCCTTAATGCAGAGAAGGCTTTTTTTTCTGAAGGGGGGGGGTCATCATCTGATTGAGGTCTCCAAAATTATGAGAGATATAAAGTGACAATCTCTTCCCCATGGCAGACATGTCAAAGGCTAAAGGGCAGAAGTTCAATGAGGAGGGCAAGTGGTTTAGAGGAGATATGACAAAGAATGTTTTCAGCCAGTGGGTGGTAGATATACAGAACACACCGCCTGACTCTTGTAACATTTTAGAAGCATCTGGATGAGTACTTAACATGTCAGGGTACAGTAGGCTATGGACCAAGTGCAGATAAATTGGATTTGCATAGTTTGGCCGGCAGAGACGTGGCAGGCCCATTTACCTCCTCCCTCACCAGTATCCAAGGGCCCAAACATACCTTCCAAGTGAAGTAACACTTGACCTGCACTTTCCAGAATCTAGTCAACTGCATTCGCTGTTCACAATGTGGTCTCCTCTACACTGGGGAAACAAACTGTAGACTGGGTGACTGCTTCGCAGAACATCTATGCTCTGCTCGCAAAAAAAAAGACCCTGAGCTTCCAGTTGCCTGCGACTTTAAGACACCACCCTGTTCCCTGGCCAACGTCTCTGTCTCAAGCTTGCTCTAGTGTTCCAGCGAAGCTCAGCGCAAGCTGGAAGAACAACACCTCATTTTCCGCTTGCGGGACCTGCAGCCCTCCGGACTCAATATTGAGTTCAATAATTTTAGGGCCTGAACTCTCCCATGTCCTAGCCCCCAACCCCACACACCGGTCCTTGTTATCACATAGCTTGCCATCAGACACCACCTATTGTTAGTCACTAACAGTTCCTATTAACAGCTATTCACCAGATCATTATCAACTCCTTTGTCTATCCAACTGCTCTTCTCTCTCTGGACTCTATCCTTTATCCTATCGTTTACTCCCTACTCCATCCCTCTCCCTATTTTTTGCATCTAAACCAACATTTTCCCAGCTACCATCAGTTCTGAGGAAGGGTCACTGGACCTGAAACGTTAACTGATTTTTTTTTCCCCGCCACAGATGTTGCCAGACCTGCTGAGCTTTTCCAGGAACTTCTGTTTTTGTTGTTGGCAGGCCGTATGACTGTTAGCCCATTGACTTAGCCTAATGTAATTTTCCTACCAATGGCCATGTTTGGTATAACTGACCCTGTTCTTGTTTTGTTTTGTCAGTCTATACTAGTTACACACTTGCATTTGCTCCATTCTGACACAGAACCATGACAAATTTTCTTACCATCTCTTTGTTTCTCTCTATATGCCTTGCCTTTCACTGTCTGAAAATATAAAAATTACCAAATGATGACTCTCTTCAAACAATAAAAATACTTGCATAAATGTACATTTGACTTTTGTAGCAATCACTGTCCAGTTTACCACTCCATAAAGCCACATTCGTCTCAAACTGATTTCAATCCTACTTAAACATGCACCTGCCCTTTTAGCAGTCATATGTCCAGGACTTTAATCATGATATTCTCCTTTCACACTGTCCGGGAAACACTCGCTCACCTCTTTACCTGACTATTATTTTGTTGCCATTCTTTTCACAAGAACATCCTTCTCAAAAAAGACAATAAGATGTAGGAACAGAACTAGGGCATTCAGCCCATTAAGTCTGCCCTATCATTCAATGTGATCTAGGATGACCTGATAATTAACTCCACTTTCCTGCCTTTTCCCCATAATCCTCGATTTCCTTAAGGATTAAAAAAAAACTGTCAGTCAATCTCAGTCTTGAATATTCTTAATGGCCAATCTTCAACCACCTTCTGCGATAAAGAATTCCAGAGTCACCATCCTCAAGAAATTCCTCATCTGTCTTAAATGTACGACCTCTTATTCTGAGATTATGCGCTATGATCCTAGACTCTACCACATGGGAAAACAACTGGTCAGGTTCCATAAAAATCTTATATGCCTCAATAAGGTCACCTCTCAGTCTTCTACAATCCAAGGAGTACAGGCCCAATTTTCTCATCCTTTCCACACTGGACAGTCCTTCCATACCCGGTGTCAGTCTAATGAATGCTCTCTGAACCACCTCCAATGCCAGTATATCTTTCCTTAGATAAAGAGCCCAAAATCATTCACAGTACTCCAGCTGTGGCCAGAGAGACCTTTGCATAGTTTTAGCTAAACTTTTCTATTTTCATATTCTATTCTCTTTGAAGTAAAGGTCAACATTTCAAGTGCCTTCCCTATTACCATCTGAACTTGGATGCTAACTTTTTGTAATTCATGGATGAAGACTCCCAGGTCCTTCTGTTCCGTAACTTTCTGCAGTCTCTCTCTCTTTAAATAACATCTAGCTCCACTATTATTACTGCCAAAATGTGCAACCTCACATTTCCCCACATATATTCCATTTGTTAAGTTTCTGTTCACTCACTAAACCTGGCTATACCCCTGGCTTTTGTCATATCTGTAAACCTATTCTTCATCTAGGTTATGAGTCCTCATGATTCCCAAACATCTGTTTGCACCAACACTTAACAGCTAATGCAATTCTCGACTGTGTGCCGTTAACGCCATTTTTCTCTATTCCTCTCTCCTAACCACACATTAATACCAACCTTTCTCTGCACAAAATGGAACAACCATGAAAACCAAGGAACAATATCATTCAAAATCCCAATCTTGTCATAAAAAACCATATGTCACAAGCATCAACAATTCAAGGAATTCAAAATAGACAAAGAAAATGCTGTAAAATGAAAATTAACTGATCTCCTGTCCCATGTTCTCTTAACAAAGGTAGTAGGAGGCCATTTGGCTCTTCAAGCCTCCTCCACCATCTAAGCAAATCATAGCTGATGCTCTATCTTAACACCATTTTCCCCACACTCAACCATTTCCCTTAATGTCTTCAATTCCTAGAATCTATTTTGAACATAATCACCACACCTCCACAAGCCTGAAGTGGAGAAGTCCAAAGATTCACCACTCTAGGTGAAGAAAAAGCCTCCTCATTGTCAATCTTAAATGGCCATTATTATTCCGAAACTGTATCCCCTGGTTCTAGGCATTCCAGCCAGGGGAAATGTTTCTCCTGCAACTACTTTGTCAAGTCCTGCAAGAATTTTATACATTACATTAAAGTTATTTTTAATTCTTCTGAAGTTGAGACACTACAGGCCCAGTCTAATCAATATCGCTTTGTCGGCTAATCCCACCAACTCAGGAATCAGTTTGGTCAATCTTTGTTGCGTGCCGTCTATAACAATATACCCTTCTTCACATAAGGAGACTAAATATACAATATCTAGATGTGGTCTCTATACAATTAGATGTTCAGGCTCTATACAATTGCAACAAGACTTCATTAATACTGTACTCTGAACTGCCTGGAATAAATGTCAACATATCATTGGCCTCCCCAATTGCCTGTTGTATGCTTATGTTAGCTTTCAATGAATCGTGAACAAGGATACCCAGATCCTTTTAGGCATGAACATTTTCCAATCTCTCACCATTCTCAAAATAATCTATATTCCTGCTTTTACTCACAAAGAGGGTAACTTTACAATATTTCCACATTTTATTTCATCTACAGTGTTGTTGCCCATTCACTTAACCCATTTAAACCCCCTTGGAGTCTCTGCATCCTCTTAACTCCCACTCCCACCTAGTTTTGGATCTTCAACAAACTTGAAAATATTACACTTGGTTGCCTATGACCAAAATATTTCTACAGATCATGTGCTCTAATTTTATTTGATAACCGTTTACAGGGTCTTATCAAAAGCCTTTAGAAAGTCCAAATATGCCACATCTATTGGTCTCCCATATCTATTCTGCTAGCTGCATCCTCAAAAAGCTCAAACGGATTTGTCAACACAATTTCCCTTTCATTAATTGGTGTTATCTGAGCTCAATCCCACCATTATTTTAAGTATCCAGTTGTAAAACCCTCTATGGTAGATCCTAAAATCTTCCCATTACTGATGTCAGGTTAACAAGTCTGTGGTTCTCTGTTTTCTCTCCGTCTAATTTAAATAGCGAGATTACATTTGCTATCTTCCAAACTGCAGAATCTATTGAATTTTGGAAAACGGCAATAACTCCATCATCTCTTCGGCCACCTCTTTCAAAACTAGGAGATATGGTTCATAGGTCCAGGGTAATTTGCCAACTTTCAGTCCCATGTAACACATCCAGCATTTGATATTTGAAGTCACTACTCAAAGCCACGAATATTCTCTCACAGTTCGGGGACAACTTTTTTCTGCTTCCTTTCCACTCTTCAATATTCTTTTCCTCATGGCGGCAGCCACCCACCTTCGTCGTTTTGCTACTTGTATTAAACTAAACTACACAACTTTGATGAAAGGTCAGCGAACCGAAAGGTTAACTCTCGTTTATGTTTGCTTATGATATTGTCTGACCCGCTAAGTGTTTTAATACGTTTTTACTTTTTTTTGCCTCATCTACCATGAAGGCAGCAGGGACTGAGTCAGTGAGAAATAAACGAGGGGACATTCTGGGGAAGGGTCGCTGCACCCGAAATGTTAACTCTGCTTCCGCTCGACATATGCTGCCACACCTGCCGAGTTTTTCCAATAGTTTCTAGTTTTGTTTCTGATTTCCAACAACCGCAGTTCTTGGGTTTTGTGTTTTTTTAAGCAACAGTTCGGAATGGGGACAATCATCCTGCCCTGTTTGGAGTAAATACTGAAAAACAGCCACAGTACTGATACAGAAGTGGACAGTGTCACTTTCCCCTCTCCCTCCATTTAAAAAAAAAGCATTATGCAGACATTCAAGTAAAAAAAATTGTGGTGTTACAAACGAGAGATAAAGTGTATAGTAGAAGCTAAAGAGGGGAAAGGGGGGATTGCAAGTGGAAACTAAGTTGCCGAGCATGCCTAACTTTTCCGGGTTCAGGTATCACAGTATTTGTTTATTTTATAACAGGGCAATGGAATATAGCGATTCTAACCTTGACCTAACTAAACTATGCTGAAGTACCTGTTGCATCCGAGCATAGACGTACAAAACCGGTATATCGATCAATACGATGAGCGACCACCGCCTAGAAACTTCTGGAGGTGGCACAGATAACGATGGGGAGGGATAGACTGCACAAGCGCAGGCGCGTAGGACAGGGACCTTGGCGACGGCAGCGCAGGCGCAAAGTATTAGGCCGCCTTCTCCGGCGGGAGTATATCACTCTGAGCGGTGTCAGGTGACGCGATTCACCTGGCAGCCATTTCGCGACGTCGTGCAGACAAAATGGCGGTGCTGCTTGAAACGACCCTGGGAGATTTGGTGATCGATTTGTATACGGAGGAGAGGCCTAGGGGTTAGTGGTAATTTGAAGAGGCAGTTCTCAGTACACATTCCTTTCTATGGTTAGGCTCGTTCACATTCTTTAAACAAAAAAAGTTCTGTAACGCGACGTGGAGAAGCCTCAACGGTCCAGCTTTACGTATTTTCTGCAGTATTATCCAAGATCTGAAGACATCGCAAAACATTGCACAGCGGGTTCAATACTTAACTGTAGTCACTGTCCTATTTAAGCACAAGCTCCTACAAATATCAGTGTGGTGATGACCAGATAATTTTAGTGATGTTAACTGACAAATATGTCGCTACCGAGGAGAACACCCCTATTCAAAACAGTGGCCACTTTTGCATTCACCTGAAGGGCAGTGAGGGACTCGATTTGAGACAAGTACTGTGTTGCAGTATTAGTTTGATTGAGTGAGACTTGAACTATCCGTCCTGAAGAAGGGTAGTAACCGAAATATTGACTGCTCCTTTCTTCTAGAAGCTGCCTGTCTTGCTGTGTTCTTCCAGCCTCCTGTTTGCCTACCTTGAACTCACAATTTCCTGACTGCCAGGCGCAAGAGACTCAGAATTATAGTTTTTTACAATGCACTGGCGATTTAAAGAAAACGCAGATGAAGCTGCCCCAGAACATTTCACACTGGTAAAGCATGTTAAAGCTGAAATGAAGGCACCTTTTTTTTTCTTTGAAGCTTGATGCAGTTTAAAAGTAGAACTTCTGAGATTTCTGTAGTGTTTCATATATGCAGAATTTGCCTTAGTGGAGGGGAAACGATTTAAAAAAGTCAATACCTAGCAAGAAAACGGAGTTGTGAAAAAGCAAGGAGGCATTTGAAACAAGGAGGGAGGTTGAGGAATGTGAAGAAACCAAAGAAGTTGCTGAAAGATTGTTCACAATTAATAGATCAAAGTTTCTGAAATACCAGTAATCTCCTCATGATATCCTATTTGATGTGAAATAATTTTGAGCTTAACTTTTTTATATTTTTTTTGTTTGTAGCCTGCTTGAATTTTCTGAAGCTTTGTAAGATCAAGTATTATAACTACTGCCTCATCCACAATGTTCAGGTGAGTTTCTATTAGCTTTTACAATCTTTAAACCTTGTAAATTTTCCCAAAAATGTTCTTCATAAATTGTTTGATCTGGTATTTTGTAATGCATGTTATTTATTATTAACAACCCAGGGAACTAGATTGTATGGCACATTGGCTTTTTTTAAAATTCAAGGATGTGGGCATCATTAGCTGGGCAAACATTTATTATCTTGTCACCCTTCAGAAAATGAGCTGCTTTCTCGAATCACTGCAGTCCATATTGTGTCAGTAGACCCATTAGAAACAGTGTTCCAGGATTTTGACCCAGCATCACTCAAGGACCAGTGGCACCCAAGTCAATGGCTTGGAGGGAAACTTACAGCTGGTGGTGTTCCCAGGTATATTGTCCTTGCCCTGCTAGATGGTAATGATTATTGGTTTGGAAGATGCTGTTGAAGTTCTGCAGTGTATCTTGTAGATGCTGCTACTGAGCATCAATGGTGAAGGGCGTGAATGTTTGTGGATATGGTGCCAATAAAGTAGGCTGCTTTGTCCTGGATTGTGTTAACCTTCTTGAGCATGGTTGGAGGTACACTCATCCAGGTGAGAGGGTAGTATTCCATCACACCATTGACTTGTGCTTTGAGGAGTCAGGAGGTGAGTTACTTGCTGCAGAATTCTGAGCCTCTGACCTCCCTTGCAGCCACAGTATTTATATAGCTAGTTCAGTTCAGTGTCTGGTCAATGGTAATTCCCCAGAGGTGTTAATATTTGGGGGTTCAGCAATGACAATGCTGGGAATGGTTAGATTCTGTGTAATTGGAAATGGTCATTGCAAGGGACTTATGTGGTGCAAGTGTTGTTTTGATGCGGAGGTGCTGGTGTTGCGCAGCCCCTTTGTCAGGTGCAGTGACAGAGAACAGCACACAAACACATTGCGTGGAATGTCAGATAATTCTTTGCAGGTGACTAAGAGTGTTATGCAGTGAGTAAAGTGTCAACAGGTGAATAACCAGTGAAGCGATGACTTATAATCCAATTAAATGAGGCAGAGAGGTAATCACAAAAAATTAAAACTGTGTCTGTGTGCTCTTGTGTCACTGCACCTGACAAAGGGGCTGCGCTCTGAAAGCTTGTGATTTCAAATAAACCTGTTGGACTGTAACCTGGTGTCATGTGATTTCTGACAAATGTTGTTTGCCATTTGTCAGCCCAAATCTGGATAATACAACTAAGTTTGGACAATAATTGCTGACCCACCCCGTAATGCCCACATCCCATGAATAAAATCAAATGCTAATGTGCTGTACTATCTGGTCCTCTCTACTCTTTTGATATTAAATATTGCTGTATTTGGAGGTGAGCTGCTTATAATTTTAGTAAAGCCCAAACAGATTTGTGAACCGTGGTGAGTCTGCCAAAGACTTATGGAATATTCACTTGAACTGTGGAGAACACTTAAGATTTCACAGATTTAGATTTTCTTTGTCCATGGTCAGTAACAGCAAAGCCCTCCTTCACGTCTTGGCCACCTACCCTTCCTCACCTTGTACCGTCCGCTCCCGTTCCTACCTGCCCCTCACACCCCGTTCCTACCTCACCAGTCCCCGCCTTTTCCAGCTACCTCTCCAACCCAACCCATTCCATCCCGTCCCCTCCCACCTGCCCCATGCCCACTCGTTATATCCCCAACACCCCCCCCCCCCCCCCCCACCTGCTCCATGTCGTCCACTCCATTCCATTTCCTCCCGCCTGTCCCCGCCCATCCACTCCTACCCATTACAGCTCGCTCCCCCCACTTCCGGCCCATCTCACCTCCTGACCAGTCCAGCCCATCCCCCTCCTGTCCATTCCTCCCACCCCTTCCCCCCTCCCCCCCCCCCC